TTATTAGGGGATTCTGTGGGAAGAGGGGGAGGAAGGAACAGGATTGGGCAGAGGAAAAAGCTGGGCTGTGATGCAATTTTAGGAAGGCCTCAATTGACCCAATCTGGGAGCTCTGAAGCTGGGATGCCTTGGAGAGGTGGCCCAAGTTGGGACAAGGGGACGTTTATTCTTCCATGATCAGTGGTCACTGGATGTGGACCCTTGGGAAGGGAGTGTGACCTCCGGCAAAGCGGCTCTTCTCAGTCAAGGGAATTTCCAAAACAGCTCCTGATAGGCACTCCCAGCAGCCAGGGAAATAGATCCTCCAGTTGGGCAGCGAGATCTGGGCAGCACATCGCAGCAGCCATGCAGAGGGGCTGCCTCCTCTGTCACCCCAGGGGAGGTGTGGCCACCTGCCGGAAGCAAAGAGTAGCCTGGGCCTTCTCTTCTTCCGCCTGCCTTCCAATCTCCCTCCCCGGCCTCCCACTGGGCAAACTGGGCTGGAAGCCAATGGGCAAGAGAGCCTGGGAAGTAGAGCTCACGAGGGCCAGCCCCAGGGAGCTGAACAGTGTGGGGCAGGGTGCAGCACTGAGAGCTCACAGGTCTAGGGTGGGCTGTGGGAGAGAGGAAAAAGGCAGATTCAAAGGGGACCCTGCAATGAGTGCCTGTGATCCTGGCCCCTGGGTGGGTGGAGCTGGGTAGATGGTGGCATGCCTTTCTCTCAGAAGAGGCAGAGAAGGAGGCACACACCTGGGAGGTAGATGCTCAGGGGCCATGCTGAGTTTGCCATTCAAGTGCTGGCAGCTCAGTGGATCTTAAATTCTGGAATAGAATAATCTTCAAAGACAAAAAAACGTAGGTGGGGCCGGGCATGGTGGCTCCAGCCTGTAATCCCAGCACTTTGGGAGGCTGAGGTGGGTGGATCACATAAAGTCAGGAGTTTGAGATCAGCCTGGCCAACATGGTGAAACCTCATCTCTACTACAAATAAAAAATTACCCAGGCATGGTGGTGGGCGCCTGTAATCCCAGCTACTAGGGAAGCTGAGGCAGGAGAATCACTTGAACCTGGGAGGCAGAGGTTGCAGTGGGCTGAGACTGGGCCACTGCACTCCAGCCTAGGTGACGGAGGGAGACTCTGTCTCAAAACAAACCAACCAACCCTTCAGTGGGCTCTCCTCTGGGCACAGGACCAAGTGCTACATGGCCTTCAAGCCCTTCCCAACACTGTCCCAGGCAACCTCTGCAGGCTCAGCACCCACCACCATTGTAGTTCCTGTGGCCTGCCAGCCCTGCCCTTCCGCACACCCCTTGCCTGGCCTGGCCTCCCACCGTTCATACTCAGCCTTGAGCAACTCCCTCACAATCCCTGCACATCTCCCAGGTCAAAGGCCTTCTAGAGTCCTCCCCAACTCCTGTGTTCCCCTACAAATTGAGTCGCCCTAAGTGCTTAGGAGCTTGACTGCACCACCCCTTATGAGCTACTTAACCGTAGCAAGTAACTTCATTTTTTGTTCCTTCTTTTTTAAAATTTTTATTTTTTGAGACTAAGTCTCACTTTGTCCCCAAGGCTGGAGTGCAGTGGTGTGATCTCGGCTCACTGCAACCTCTGTCTCCCAGGTTCAAGTGATTCTCCCACCTCAGACTTCCCAGCAGTTGGGATTACAGGCGCGTGTCACCACACCCAGCTAATTTTTGTACTTGTAGCAGAAACGCCTTTTCACCATGTTGGCCAGATTGGTCTTGAACTCCTGACCTCAGGTGATCCGCCCACCTCAGCCTCCCAAAATGCTGCGATTACAGGCGTGAGCTATTGTGCCTGGCAGCTTCATCCTTCTAAGGCTTCAGTTTCTTCCCTGTGAAACGGGGCAAAAAATAACCCCACAGTGTGGTTGGAAAACTGAAGTAATACATGTAAAGTGCTAAGAACAGTGTCTGACACATTGTAGGCCTCGATTCATGTTAGCTATTATTATTATTTTAATTTTCATCTTCTAATTCCCAGTGTTTAGCTCTTGGTAGATGCTTAATTAGTATTTGTTGAGTGAATGGAGAATTAATAAGGAAAATGATTTATTCTTGGGGCTCGACCTGGTTTTAGAAAATTAAGTATTTAGTAGAAGTGCAAGGACGGGCTCTCTGATAATAGTTATATTGTTGGGTGCCCAGGGACTCCAACCTGAACTGGTTCATTCAAGAAAGAAAAATGACAGATTCCAAGTTGTTTCACGCACAACTTTCACGCTCACCCAAATCACGCGGGCTGCCCGGGTGCAGGAGGTATCTCTGGCAGTGGCCAGAATGACTTCCACCAGCCTACCCACCTACCCGGGTTGGCACTCAGGCCCTAGACCCTGCGGCGCGTGTGGAGGCTGGGGAGGGAGCAGGAATCTGGCGGCAGCCACGTGGGCCCCTTCCGCCCGCTCCCCACATCCTTTGTTTCCCACCGGCCCTGGCTCAGGAAGCTCTTTCTGCGAGTCACCGCGAAGGGGCGGCCCGGGAGCCTGGAGAAGCTATTTCCGTGCAATCCGGGCGGGCGGCAGGCGCGGGGGGGTTAGGGGGGCGTGGAGGTGGAGGCAGCGCAGAAGGCCCAGTGTTTGCTTTTCTTTCATCCAACAGAAGGTTCTATTTGTGGAAGCGAACAGACGCTGGGGATTAGAGCTGGGAGGGGGCAGGAAAAGAGAGAGAAAAAAAAAGCCACATCCACTACCACGCACAGGTCTTCCCCGGAACTACCGCGTGGGGGTGAATGACTGATTCTGGAATTCATCACCTCCCCATCCCCCTCCTTCCTCCGGCTGCAGCCGGGCCTCGGCGGCGCCCACGGCTCCAACTGGAGCTCCCCAGGCGCTGGGCGGTGGGGGTATCCCCGGGGCGAAAGGCGTCGCCGCGGGGCTGCAGCGGGCGGCGGGTGCACAGAACCGTGGTGCGCGCTCCCGCCTCACGCCCGCAGCCCATTGTGCTTGCTGTGAATGAGGCGCGCGCACCAATCAGCGGTCGCTTCGCTCCCCGCGGCCCCGCCCCTCCCGCCCACTTCCCCGGACCCTTACGTCACGGGAACTTTTCCTCCGCCCCCTCCTTCGGCTTCTCGGCCGAGCTGGGGGCCTGCCGGAGGGCGCGCGCCACCTCCTGCCCAGCCCAGCCCGGGGGGCGTGTGCGCGCGCCCAGGCCGGCCCGGGACGCACCACCTGTGCCCGACCGCGCGCTGCCCCGAGCATCCCCAGCCCTCGGGCCACCCCCATTCCCCCCACCTCCTGTTCTCCCTCCCCTCCCCCAAGTCTCCTCCCTCCGCTCCTGAGACTGCTCGCCGGGCGGCGAGGCCGGAGTCGTCGCAGCCACCTCATTGCACAACCCGGCTTCCCAACTGTTTACACAGCCCGGCCTGTGAGTGTGTGTGTATACAGCGTGAGTCACCGGGAGGCGGAGGAGGTGGAGGAAAAGGAGAAGGAGGAGTGCACTGGCCGGGATCGGTGCGGCGCTCACACTCACTCACAGTCACTCTCTCTGAGCGCGTCTCGCTCGCTCTCCTACACGCCCGGAGCCCAGGAGCGCGCAGGATCCCGAGCGCCGCGAAAAAGTTCCCCCGGCTTTAGCTCGAGACTCATCGCTTTGGGAAGTGCATTTGCTTCGTGGCTCCGCCGAGCCTACTGAATCCTGTCCTCGCGGCTCGGGAAGCCGGGATCGCTGGCCGCTGCCGCCGCCGCCTCTGCCTCCCGGACTGTCGGCAGCCTAGGCAACAATAGTGGCGGCCGCCCCCAGCGAGGCTCCGGGAGCCCTTGCCTGCGGGGATCCGGGGACCCAAGCCGGCCTCCGCTCCCCGGACGCACAGCCAGCGTGGTCCCCGCGTGCAACGCGAGCGCCGGGGAGCGGCTCCTGCTTTGCCCCTAGTGGGGGCCGAGCCAAGAGCAGTCTGCAAACTCCATCCCGCCGGCTGGAAGAAGTCGCGGAGCCGGCGCCAAGCCCGCAGCGTCTTCCCGCGCGGATCCCGGGACTTAAAAAGCCGGGGCCGCCCCGGCCCAGGACGGGATGCGGGTCGGTCCCGTGCGCTCTGCCATGAGCGGCGCCTCGCAACCCCGCGGCCCGGCCCTGCTGTTCCCAGCCGCCCGAGGCGTCCCGGCCAAACGCCTGCTGGACGCCGACGACGCGGCGGCCGTGGCGGCCAAGTGCCCGCGCCTCTCCGAGTGCTCCAGCCCCCCGGACTACCTCAGCCCCCCCGGCTCGCCCTGCAGCCCGCAGCCCCCACCTGCCGCTCCGGGGACCGGCGGCGGCTCCGGGAGCGCGCCGGGGCCCAGCCGCATCGCCGACTACCTGCTGCTGCCCCTAGCCGAGCGCGAGCATGTGTCCCGGGCGCTGTGCATCCACACTGGCCGCGAGCTGCGCTGCAAGGTAGGCGCTCCCGGGCCAGGACCCGGCTGGGGTCGGGGGCGCAGGACGGGGTAGTAGGCAAAGGTGCTTGGGGTGCGGCCAACGCTTGGGCTGGGCACAGGGCAGATCAGTAGATGGGGTCAGATAAGACGCCATCTGACCAGGTTCACCTTTTTGTGGATTGAGGGGTTTCCCATGGAGTGGTATAATGGGGGCGCCTAGAGGAAGTGTAGTGTTCAGTGGCCTTCTCTTTCTGTTCCTTTCCTTAGCGCCCAGTGTAGCGCGTGGCGTTCCATATAAGTTGTGGAATTGAAATGGATTCCAGGGCCATGCCATTCCCCTTCTCTCATTCTCCTCGCTCTCCACCCCCCGCCCCCCCAACCCCATGTCCTGGAAGGACGCCCTGCAGTGGGTGCCTCCTAGGAGATTGAAGCAGCTGGCATCTCTCTTGCCGGGTTTGCACGGCACCCGGGCTCAGTTGTAGGTGGTAAGAGCGCTGGAAGACTGTGTCCGGCTCCTGCCTTGGGGATTCCGAATTGAATTCGCGCTGGGACTAGAACACGTCCTCCCTAGGGAGCAGTCCCAGAGTCTTCCACCCGAGGCGGAGGAATCTGCTCGGAGTAGAAATGTTGAAAAGCCCACACCGGGCAGGAACCCTCGCTTCGATTCACTTTATTTTCCAGCCAGCGATTTTCCTTTGAACGTAGGGATCCCATCCAGGAGGAGGAGACACAGCTCCTAGAAACAGGATCCGCCGGGTCCTCCTCCTGCGCGGGTAGACGCAGAACATTCCCACAGTCTACTTTATGCGAGCATGACACCCCTGCTTGAGGCACCCCAGAGCACCCTCGGGCTGCTCCTTTTCACCCGAAAGATAGGATCAGCCCCCAGTTAAGTCGCTTCTGGGTTTTCCGCAACTCACCTGACACTCCCAACACCCCGACCCCGTCCCGGGGCTCGCTGCTGCCACCTACTGCCCAACCCGAATGAAATTTCAAACGCATGATCAAGCCCGGTTTAATAGGGGGAGATAAAACCCTTTTCTTCTCCGTGGCTGGGGCTCAGAGCTGTTCTGGGACAAGCATATGTGTGTGGTGGGATGGGGTGGGTGGGAGGAGGGGGCAGCAGGGGATTTTTCTAGCTGGTGCCAGAGCAGCCAGGCCTCTTAGAGGTGGGGTGAGTCTGGCCATTGTGCAACCCCTTCCAGTTCCTCTGAGCAGATAATAGCTGAATCCAGATGGTGACAGCCCGTGTGTCACCGTTTCCAGTTGAGTCTAGGATATGAGTAACTGGACTAAACAAAAGGCCTCTAAAGAGATCAGCCAGCTTCCTAGAAGAGAGGAGATGCTACTCATTTTTAGGGGTGGGGTCGGGTGTGGGGGGTAAACAAACAAATGAAAAACCGATTCGCAGGATCCCCTACCCCTCCTGTGAGAATTGTAACTCAAGGCGGCTTACTTACACTTGAGTCGGACTGTAGGCAGGTTGCTTAAAGCTGCATTGTCCCAGCCTCCCCCTCCAAGTCATCTGTTCCTTCTGATTAATGACAGCTCTGCATGTTCTCTGGCCCCTGCTTCCCCTTGGAGGCTGCAGAGTCACCACATTCTGTGCCCTTTCTGTGCTGAGCACTTTGGGTCTGCAGGAGACACATGCATGTCCAGGGACTGCTTTTCAGCTCCTGGACAGGCCAGGGGCTTCCTTCTATCAACCACTCACTAGTGTGGCCTGCAAACAGGAAAGGGCCACAGATGTTGGGGGGTTTGCTTAGCTCTCAGGAGCTGATGGAAGATGGGAACATGTAAAGGAGACAGTTCTTTCAAATGATCTGTGTGAAAGCGGGTAACCCTTTGGGTATTTGCAAGTCTAGAGCTCCAGGTGTTACTGGTTTTAAAGGTGTCGGGGGCAGCTGGGGCCGAGGTAAGGTGGCAGAGGAAACGGAGTAGGTGAATGGAACTTACATTCTAAGCCCAAAGGTTGAGAACTTCTGCTCAGCTCCCTCAGGGGTTTGGGAGGCTGCCTTTGCTTTTCTAGCCCCCTAAATGGGCCCCCTTCTCTCTGCAGGTGTTTCCCATTAAACACTACCAGGACAAAATCAGGCCTTACATCCAGCTGCCATCGCACAGCAACATTACCGGCATTGTGGAAGTGATCCTTGGGGAAACCAAGGCCTACGTCTTCTTTGAGAAGGACTTTGGGGACATGCACTCCTATGTGCGAAGCCGGAAGAGGCTGCGGGAAGAGGAAGCCGCCCGGCTCTTCAAGCAGATTGTCTCTGCCGTCGCACACTGCCACCAGTCAGCCGTCGTGCTGGGGGACCTGAAGCTTAGGAAGTTCGTCTTCTCCACGGAGGAGAGGTGAGCGGCCGCCATGGCTTCTCCTGTGGCCTTTTGGAACCAAAGTGAAGGTGCAGGTCGTGTAGTTAGGTGCTGTGTGTTGGTGCAAAACAAAGTCAAGGGCTCATATGTCCCAGATTTAGTATTTAGAGCTTCTGTTCCTGAGGAGTCACAGCTAAGGTTGGTTTATTTTACATTCTCTTGGACGGGGTCTGGGGACACTGTGACGCTTCTATGGGATGGCACGTGTTGACAGGGTGCCCTTCCTCTCCTATCCCAGGATCAGGTCCATTGTTGTCAGAAAGGTCAGTCATCTGGGGTACAAATATTAAACTGCCCTTTACAATATTGCCTTCTGAAGGAAGTGTTCAAACCTTTGCTTATGCCAAGTTGTCGTTTTGTACCTGGAAGGTTTCACAGAGCTAGTGAGACTGTCATATATGCAGAATTCCACCCTCTTCTTTCACACAGCATTCCTGTCCCATCCCAGGCTGGTTTCTCTGTAACGTCACATTCTCTGGTGACTTTTTAGACATCTCGTTTGGATCCGTCTTCAGAAAATAGCCACGTTGAATAGAATGGAAGTTGGCTAGGATGGATTGCTAAATATAGATCATAGCTTACCTCATAAAGAACAAGATGAGCTTGATAAGAGAGTAATGAGGCATTAAGATTCAAAGCTGAGGTTTTAGCTAGAGAATTCAGGAAGCCGCATGAGATAGACCACACTTGAGTTTAAGAGCCAGCCACATCCCTTGTGGAAAGATTACGAGCAGTAAGGCTGTAACATTGCAGAGGTGAGAGTGAGTGAGTTTGTTGTAAGAAGTGGGCTTATCTCACCTGTGCATTTTTACCTTTGACTCCAGAACATATGAAATTGTACAGGGTTGAGCTGTCATAAAGCATGACTTTGTATCTGACCTTGCAATAATTATTGGAACACACTGATTAGCAAAGAAAAGCAAACTGTTTGCAATGAAGAAGTTTCTAATTCCTGGAACATGCTCCTTTGATATGGTGATGCATTTTCTGAAACATGCCTTACACACCTCCTTACTAGCTTTTGAAACCTGCATTGCACAGGCGAATGTCATGGGCATGGGGTTTGGCAACCCGGGGGTTAAGCAATGTCAGGCTGACGCTATTCGTGTAACCAGCACAGGTGCAGGGTTTTAGTGCTGTAGCAGCCAATCAGGGGCAGACAGTGTGGGTTGAGTCATATTTTCCGTTTACAGAACCAATGGGTATTTTACATAACGACAGGGAGGTCACGCTGAGGACATACTGAAGTTAGCACATGTATACTACACTCCAGGGAACAGGAAGGCAGGAAAAAAAAAATACCAGACCTTTGAGAGGAAAAGGAATTGACCCATCAGCCAGTACCAAATGTTTGCGTTTAACTTCATAAGTGACTTACTGAAACAGGGCTATTTCAGAGAAGCAGGCAGAGACAGGGTGTCACCGGATATTGGAGCTTCCCTACCACATGGCTTTAGGCTTTGGGGGATCCAGACTTGGGTGGCTGGTTTTGAATAAGGAGGCACCTGCAGCTTCATAAGAGAGCCTTTGACTAAAGGTTTTTTAGACTTTAGTTGCTACCTGAACAGAGACCCCCCCTGTAGAGTGAATATGCTCACATGTTGATGTGCCATCCCACTGGGGAGTGTGTGTCCCTATGTAAGAATTTCAGAGGCCCTGCATCCCTGAAATCCATCAGCCACTTTTGTTTGCTCGTATAACCTCTCTGTCCATGCAAAGTGTTCTTTGCAATTAAACGCCCCAATACATGTAATTAACATTCCTTGCAACTTTCCCACCCTAATTGTCGCAGCCTGGGCCCAGGTGGACAAAGTTTGCTCCCTGTGCATGTATCAGTGCGGACACCAGCGCTGATGACCTGTGTGTAATAGCAGTGACTTTGGGCTCCGTGTTGTGTAATGCAGTGTGGGTCCAGGTAGCCCTGGCAGTCATAAGAGAGAAGACAGGCTTGTAGGATGCGCAGGCCCTCCCTGAAGACGTAGGATATGCTGCTCTTCCCTGATAGCTTTTGTAGAGAATGCAGCATTTCCCTGAGACAGGCTCCCAGTTCTGCAATGGGAACTTAGTACATTGCGTAACTCCTATTAGGATATCTCTTGTAAGCTCTAGCATTATGAATACTATTTGGGGCTTTGCATCATACCCTCCACCCCAGGCGCTCTGTCGATACTTTGCAAACATTTATTGCAGTTTGTGTAGGTTTGTGAAATTACGAGTCCTCGGTAGTTGCAGGGCACTGCTTACTGGACGAAGGGGTAAATAGCATTCCTGGAGCCTTTGCTGTTAGTGCCTGTGGGCGCTGTTATTGGGAAGGCTTTGTTTTTCATAGCAGCTGGTGTGGAAATAATGGCTTGGTTCCTCTCTCTTGCAGAACCCAGCTCAGACTAGAAAGTCTAGAAGACACACACATAATCAAGGGAGAAGATGATGCGTTGTCAGACAAACATGGCTGCCCAGCCTATGTGAGCCCTGAGATCCTCAACACCACCGGGACGTACTCCGGAAAGGCTGCGGACGTTTGGAGCCTAGGGGTGATGCTTTACACGCTTCTGGTTGGACGATACCCCTTCCATGACTCAGACCCCAGTGCCCTTTTCTCCAAAATTCGACGTGGACAGTTCTGCATTCCTGAACACATTTCCCCCAAAGCCAGGTGCCTCATTCGCAGCCTCTTGAGACGGGAGCCCTCCGAGAGACTCACTGCCCCCGAGATCCTGCTGCACCCCTGGTTTGAGTCTGTCTTGGAACCTGGGTACATCGACTCAGAAATAGGAACTTCAGACCAGATCGTTCCAGAGTACCAGGAGGACAGTGACATTAGTTCCTTCTTCTGCTAATCCCCAAAACCTCAGAAACCTCATAATTCTTACACCTGGCATTTCCATTTCTAAAGATGGACAGGCCCTTTGGCGTGGTACCAACCAGACAATGACTGCATCAGGATGAAAGCTGCTGAACTCGGCATGGCGCCTCCTCTTCTCTGTTGGGATGAGTGACTTTATTGATTTGAGCAGCATAGGCTGTGATTGGCTGCCCTGCAAAGTTGTTTCCCTTAAGGAAACACCATCCCTCACCAACTATCTCTGCTGGATTTGGGAGTGCCGCATCTTTTGTGGAGGGCAAAGAGTATGGACATCTTACACCCAGTAGTCAAGTGTGTAATAAACTTGAGCATTCGAATGGGAGAAAAAGCAAATCGCACAATGACATATTTTGGGCAATAACCGTATTTTTAACAGGGTGACAAATTGGGCCAATAAATCTGCCATCTTTGAACTCACCTTTGGTAGCTAGACACGTTACCACAGCTTCTCTGATGGGAAAGTTCCTTTTTTGGCTTAACACTCACCTTTTCTTCACACTCACATTTACCAATGACTCTGCTCCGTTTTTGGAGCAGACTTTTAAGTTGCTCAGGAGCCTGACGGAACCATGAACCCAGACTCTCCTCTGTTTCCTGCCAAGACCTCATCTGCACTAATGCCTTCTCCCTGACCTTGACACTTTCCCTCTTTAGCTATAAAAGCACTTACCAGCCGAACGTGGAACAGTATCACAAAAGATCCCATCTCCCAACGATTTCAGAACTCTGAACTCAGACAGAGAGACTCCAGATTTTAAAAAAATAATTTGAGTGCTTGGAAACTATTAGCTTTTTAAGTTCCTTCCAAATACGTTAGTACCTACCCTTTACTTTTCCCCCAAGACCATCTCAGGGTGGAGCATTCTGTCTAGAAGAAGAAGGATAAGGAGGCTCCCACCCACCTCTCCCAAGAGCAGACATTAAACATCTTTGTGCTTTGAAGAGAGTGAATTTTGGATAGTCTTGTGATTCTCAGACTAACTTCTAGAATTATACTTCAACCCCTCCCAGATATGGTCCGCCTCTGGCATTGTGTGTGCATCTGCGGTTTTGCATGATGGGTTGTTAATATTTCAAATGTGTGGTTTATGAATACGTCTGTATAATCGGCTTCTGGAGTGAAACAGCAAACCCCAAATCTTCAAAGTTGGAAGGAACTTTAAAAATCATCCGGTCCAATCTCTTTCCTCTTTCCACCACCTCCCAAGGCAGAAATCCTCTCTTCAGCTTCTTTTGTAGGTGGGAATCCAGCTTCTGTTAGGTATGTCCAGGGATGGAAACTTACTCCCCTACAAAAGATAGAGCTTAATGGAGAAATTGCAACTTTCATTAAAAAACAAGTTCAGATGAAATATCAGTAACTGTCTTGGACAGTGCTGAAATCAGGTGGTTAAACGGGTAAACAAAATATACTGTATTTTGATAAATGGCACAAAAACAGGCAGTCATCTTTAAGGGCTACGCCTAGGCAAACTACTAACATGCATTGTGAGAATGCCGTGTATACCTCACGTACTGTGTACTTTGTACATATATTTTACCTTTTATACCTACGTTCGGTTTTGTTTTGTTGTGTTGTGTTCTGGCTTTGAGGCTTGTTTCGTTGTCTGTGTCTGTCTGAATAACCTGCGTGTCTAAAACCACGTGAAATGTGAATGATTATTGGCAATATTACCTTGACAGAATCATGGGACTTTGAGAAGAGGGAGGACAGAGGCCTCTGTCGCACTAACGCTCTCGTGGTTGCTCGACTGTTGTATCTGTGATACATTATCCGACTAAG